TATATTAGCGTCTCCACTCAACACATGCAATTCAACTCCAATTAGAACAAAAGATCTAATATCCTCACAACGACCTACTAATCTCTCGATTCAAGCAAGTAAATTGTGTCAAATATTAAAGACCTAATATTGAACTCATCTCTCGAATTATGAACAATATTGTCAAACATGTAAAAGAATTGATCAAGTTCTAAACATGAAATAAGAACAAAATATTTGAATAGGGTTCAAAAGAAAACAATCAACTATGATAAATCATCCAAAATCCCAACATATTAATCTACTACCATGTCTTAGAATCAATGAAATTTAGCTACTCATGTTTGAATTCAAATACATAGACATATTAGAAATCAACATGATCAATAATAGTTCAAAAGGAAAGAAGAAAGGAAAAACTAGGAATCTCGTCGATCTTTCAATCTCCTTGATCCCTTTGTGGTTGATCTCCTTTTGCCTTCCAATTGCTCCTCTTGTGTGTTTCCAAGCCTCTCTAATGTGTTCCCCTCTTTTTGGCCTCTCAAACTAGGTTAAATATGCTTCCTCTTGTGTCCAAAAACCTCTCCTAGTCAAATTAGGCAAGTATTAAAATTCTGTTCCAGCGCGCGACACGGCCTGACACGCCCGTGTCACAGCCCGTGTCACGGGTCGTGTCAGGTATCAAGCCTCGGAATGCCCCTGTTCATGTGACACGGCCACCTGACACGGGCATGGTGCCCGTGTCACTGCCCGTGTCACATCCCAGCACTCTCGTTTTTTGTCCGTTTCACTCGTTTCTTCCATTTTTCTCATCCGTGCATTAATCCATCATCATCTCGGGAGTCCTAGGTACTCACCATGCGCCTCCAATAGCTACAAGCTCTACAAATATGTGAAAATATCTACAAAACAAGCACGTGTAATACCTTTCCAACAAATAGAGAATTAAAGCACAAATATGTAATTTATACACCAATAACGCAATGACTAAGCTCTAGATACTCAATAAATATGGTGTAAAATCACACATGAACACATGTGCAAGGGAGTAAGAGTCGAGGGGCACCTCGGTTGCAGACATATGGGGACCGGTCGGTAGGAGTCCCATATATGATCCAATTTGCAGGCTTTACTCCATTTTTATTTATTTTGCTTTAATCGATTTTTATTTATTCTGTGTTATTGCTTGATTTTTGGTGCAGAAACTGTGTGAAACAGGCTTATTTTGGTATGAATGACTAATTTTAATTTTGGAAATTTGATTAGCTGCATTTTCCTTCAATATTTTGGAATTTGGGGTCAATATTGATGATGTTTGGGATGGATTTCTGTTTAGGTGGATAGATGCTAATATTGCAGCGACGGTGATTTTTTTTGCTGGGATTCGTATTTTTTTTTTCTAATTAGTTTGATGGAACTCTTGATCAATTAGTTTATCTTTTTTCCAAGCAATCAGGGCTTAAGACAACTGCAGTAAAGTTCCGTGGTGTTGATGCTGATATTAACTTTAACCCCAAAGACTATGAGGAGGGCACATGAGAGGCTATTCACGATCTTGGTTAGTTTTTGAGTTTCGTAACACTTATACTTTCTGGGTTCATGAATAATTTCATAAGTAACTTTGGTAGCTTTGTCAAGTGTCAAGTGGACGGATGATTTTCGTGTATATAAAGTACTTGCTCGCTTATGTCGTTCATCCCCTTTTCTTATTTTTGTTTCTCCAAATGCAGGATAATCATCTATCAAATGAAGAATTTGTGCAGATCTTACGTGAGAAGAGCACTGAATTCTTGAGGGGCAGTTCTAATTCTCTGTGCAGAGAAGTTATGCTTGGGTCATTGGGAAGCTCGGATGGGTCAATTTCTTGGAAAGAGGTGAGCAAATTGAGGGGCAGTTACGCTGTGGCCCAAATGAGGCAGTTTCTTGGCAAGAGATGTGCAAAATCTTTTAATTGCATCCTTCCTAATCTGTTACTATTCATGCATAATACTACGAATTCAAGTGTACCACTTCATTTTGTTTTGCAGTTTTAGTATAAAGAAGAATACAACTATGTTCATCATATGGATACACTTTTGTTTAACCTGATGCTTTTTGCAAGTTTTGTGGAGTTGAAACTCTGATTACTTCATTGAGTTTGGGTATACAGGGTGCTAGCTAGATATTGTGTTGATGTAGTTGTTTTTTGGTCTACATTCCGTGATGTTCCTGGTCACCTTAGAGGTGTCTTCCTTGATAGAGGTTGCTTTACCTTTAGATGTTGCATTTGGATAATAACTCGTTTGAATGTTAGGCCTTGAAATAACTCGTTTTAAAGTATGATAAGCATATTTACTTGATGTATCATTCTTTTGATGATTATCTATAATAATCTTTGAGACAAGGATGCTAAATATTAAAATATTTGAATCATTCATATGGGCATATAGTATTCCTGGTAAGGCGCTATTTATCTTATATTGGCAAACCCCGTCTCGAGGAAATGTTGCATGTTCTAATATCTGAAGCAGTCGTCATATAATATTGGTGCCTTATGCTTCCATCCACGAAAAAGATGTAGTGTATTCTTAATTTTGATTTTGAAGCTTCATGTTGCGTGGCAGCTTGGCTATGCAGTATGATAATAAGTTTTTTCATCTTTGTTTTCTCTAGGCAATGGTTGAAGCTGCGAGAGAGAAGTATGGCAGGGAAATCAAAGTTGTGTCTAATGCTCATAAGTCAAATAGTTTTTATATTATTTTCTGTTGATTTTTAACAAATTATATGATTCATGTTTTTGCGTTTAACATATTCAGATGACTCGAGTCCACACCAAAGGACTTGGCATTGCCAGTTAAAAAGAAAAGTAAGTAATTTACAATTTTGAAATATGTTATTAAAACATATGTGATCAATGAGTTCATTTCGAATTTTTTGTTCCTATTATTGTTCATTTTTGTACGCACAAATGTGCATTTTTAGATTTGAAACAAAATTTGTTACCCATATGTTATTGTCATTAAGTTTTTTTTTTCGTGAAAATGAAATGCATATGCATTTTGCTTTTACTAATATGAGTTTAGTTTTTAAAAATATATACATGACAATTGGCGGGACCTATCTTTCCAAGTTCAGCTGTCTTGGTTCCGTCACAGTAAGTTAAGTTAGAGCACATTTGTTTATTAAATACCTCATTCATATTCAATCAATACTCAAAATGTATTCAATCAATACTCAAAATGTAGTTCAACTTTAGCTCAACTACACGATTCTTAATATTATCAATGTAATTAAATAATACAAACCAATCATTCTTAAACATAACATCAACTTTAATTCACTACTCATCAACTAACATAAGTTTAACTATCTCTTCACGTCATCTTTCTCCTTCTTTTACAGCAAATGAACTTTAATTATTTTATTCATATATTATTTTAATATAAATTCAAATCTTATTAACAACTAATTATACCACTTTTTTCAAAATTAACCATGGTTAACAAAAAAACTCATTTTAAGTGTATTTGTTTGTAAACAAGCATGCCGATGTTTAGTGTAAAAATACGAGATTTTGTTATTTTCTGGAGGACTTGTTGCTTTGTTTGCGAGGTGGTTCAAAGCGCCTTGCTTCTATCCAAGTAAGTAATACTTATTTACTTGTGTTGTTGTTTATTGTAAAAAAATTATACACAATCAGAGTATTATATTGTGTCTTATTTTCATTAGTAGCAAGACGACGAATGGCTTCATACGGTTTAGTGTAAAAATAAAATCACAAATATGATTTTATTATTTTCAAGTTTCGCTCCAAATCTTTTGGGGACACCATGCTTTCGGCAAGGTAAGTTATTTACGTAGTAAAGTGCATGTGTTGATACATGATAAATTATTATCATTATAGAGTAGTTTTTATTGTTATATTTAGGTTTACAAGTTTATGTTACTTTTTCAAAATTGTTATGTATCTTCTTACTTAAATTTCTGAAAATTAAAGAATAAACAAGGCTTAAATTTCTGAAAATTAAAGAATAAACAAGGGATTGAGGGTAACCATGTTGGACATACTTCCTATAGAAGGCCAAATGTCTACTAAATATGAAATATAATATTTTTATTATCTATTATTATACATGTAAGTAAATGCATATGTAGAATTGATTAGCTCATCCAATTTTTCCTGCATCATAATCATAAAACGATATCGGAAAACAGACATATCTTAAGACTTTTCTCCTTCCGTTGGAAAATATCTAGCTACTGTACCTTATGTATAATTCAATTTTTTTATTTAGTTTTGAAGTACAAGTAAGTATAAACTACCAAAACTAATTAAAAAAAATTGAATTATAACAGACATATCTTAAGACTTTTCTCCTTCCGTTGGAAAATATCTAGCTACTGTACCTTATGTATAATTCAATTTTTTTATTTAGTTTTGAAGTACAAGTAAGTATAAACTACTAAAACTAATTAAAAAAATTGAATTATACATAAGGTACAGTACCTTGGTAGCTAAATATTTTCGAAGGGGAAAAGACTTAAGATATGTCCCTAATGTTTGTTTTCCGACATTGTTTTACGGATTATGATGCAGGAAAAATTGTATGAGCTGATGAATTTAGAAGGACATGCATTACTTACATGTATAAGAGATAATAAAAATATTATATTTCATATTTAATAGACATTTGGCCTTATATAGGTAGTATGTCCAACATGGTTATCCTCAATCCTTTTTTAGAAATTTAAGTAAGAAGCATCAGGATACATAACAATTTTGAAAAAATAATATAAACTTGTAAACCGAAATATAATAATAAAAACTACTCTATAATTATAGTAACTTATCATGTATTAGCACATGCACTTTACTACTTAAAATAAACAACGTAAATAACTTACCATATGGAAAGCATGGTGTCCCCAAAAGATTTGGAGCGAAACCTGCTGAAAATAATAAAATCATATTTTGTGATTTTATTTTTACACTAAACAACGTAAATAAGTTACCTACCGTGACTGAAGCAAGGTGGTGCAGTCAGCCTTGGACGTGAGTAAGCAAATTGTCCTGAAGCCATTCGTCGTCCTGCTACTAATGAAAATAAGACACAATATAATACTCTAATTGTGTATATATTTTTTTTTTTTTACAATAAACAACCACGCAAATAAACAAGTATTACTTACCTGGATAAAAGCAAGTCCCTTTGAACAACCTGGCAAACAAAGCAACAACAAATCCTCCTGAAAGTAACAAAATGTTGTATTTTTACACTAAACATCGACATGTTTGTTTACAAACAAATCCAAGTTTTTTTGTTAACCATGGTTAATTTTGAAAAATGTGGTATAATAAGTTAATGAAATTTAAATTTATATTAAAATAATATATAAATAAAATAATTAAAGTTCATTTGATGTAAAAGTAGAAGAAATATGATGTGAAGTGATAGTTAAACTTATGTTAGTTGATGAGTAGTGAATTAAAGTTGATGTTATATTAACAATGATTGGTTTGTATTATTTAATTACATTGATAATATTAAGAATAGTGGAGTTGAGCTTAAGTTGAACTACATTTTGAGTATTGATTGAATGCGAATGAGGTATTTAATAAACAAGTGTGGTCTAACTTACTGGGACGGAATCAAGACAGCCTTGAACTTGGAAAGATAGGTCCTGCCAATTGTCGTATATATTTTTAAAAACTAAACTCATATTAGTAAAAGCAAAACACATTTCATTTTCACGAAAAAAAAAAAAACTTAATGACAATAACAGATAGGTAACAATTTTTGTTTCGAATCTAAAAATGCACATTTGTGCGTATAAAAATGGACAATAATAGGAACAAAAAATCGAAATGAACTCATTGATCACATATGTTTTAATAACATATTTCAAAATTTTATATTTAACTGGTAAGTCCTTTGGTGTGGACTCGTATGAGTCATATGAACATGTTAAACGCAAAAACATGGATCATATTTGCTAAAAATAAACAGGAAATAATATAATAACTATTTGACTTATGAGCATCAGACAGCTTTGATTTCCCTGCCATACTTCTCTCTCGCAGCTTCAACCATTGCCTAGAGAAAACCAAGATGAAAAAATTTATTATCATACTGCATAGCCAAGCTGCCACGCAACATGAAGCTTCGAAATCAAAACTTAGAATACACTACATTTTTTTCGTGGCTGCATAGAGCAAAATTGAATCAAGTTGTCAATTCCTCAAAATTGATCTGGTATTTTTATTGAACCTAGTGAATACATTGAACCGAGTATGTTTCTAATAGACTATCTTGATTAAAGTTCACGAGCAACTAAACAATTTTCCACAAAGTGGTGACGAAAGGTATAGTTTTCATACGGTCTTTGAGAATAAGCTCTTTGGAATGATTATTCTCTTTGGAATCAAATACGACAAATGATTATGGTGATGTCATGGATCATCACATTATACACTTTGTGGCAAATGGTTGAGATGCACGAAATGGTGCCCGGGAGGCGTTTCGACAGGTATCACGAGCTCGGCCTGGCGAGAACCTATACATTGTCGTGCCTCAACAACTCGTGGTCGAAGTTGGAGTCGACATTGTTTATATGGTCACCGGAGGAAGATCGCTCAAAAGATTTCACGATTTGGTTTGCAATGATTGCAAAGACATAAAGCTCACGTATTTCATAATGATATTTGCTTCTGTCCATTTTGTCCTCTCCCATCTCCCCAACTTCAATTCTATCTACGGTGTCTCATTGGCCGCAGCTGTCATGTCTTTAAGGTACTCTCTCTCTATATATAATATATGAAATCTCAACATTTTTTTAAATTCTTGATTAAATTTTGAACTTTATGTCATATATGAAGTTATTCTACGATTGCTTGGGGGGCTTCGGTTGGGAAAGGAAAGGAACCCGACGTGCAGTATGGGTACAAGGCTTCGACGACAGCTTGCACGGTTTTCAACTTCTTCGGGTGACGCGGCGTTTGCGTATGCCGGTCACAATGTAGTGTTGGAAATACAAGCCACGTACCTTCGACGCCCAAGAAGCCTTTGAAGATTGCTATGTGGAGAGGAGTTATTGTGGCTTATATTGTTGTTGCTATGTACTACTTTCCGGTGGTTCGGTAATGGTGTTGAGGGTAATGATGTTGAGGATAATATTCTGTTGACTTTGGGGAAGCCCGTGTGGCTAATAGCCATGGCTAACATGTTAGTTGTGGTTCATGTTATCGGAAATTATCAGGTGAACCGAAGGTCTTTTTTTTTTTTTTTTTTTTNCATGTATTTGGATTGTTGGACAAGAGAAGTAATATGTGTTGGTTTTGTTATATACTCGTGCAGATATATGCGATGCTGGTTTTCGACATGATAGAAACTGTACTTTTGAAGAAGCTTAGGTTTAAGCTTACATGGTACTTGCATCTCTCGGAATCTTTATGTGGGTACGTACATTAAGCCTTCGTTCTAAAAAAAATCCATTTGCGAGGTTTTTTTTATTAAGAATCGGTACTAATCGTCTTATTCTTTTTATTTTTCAGCATTTACAATGTTTGTTGGAGTTACCTTCCCCTTCTTTGGAGGGCCAAGGCAGATCATAATTCAAGCAAAACACTACCAATTCTACTCTTAAAAAGAGATCGCAATAGTTGCTATTATACAGAAAGGGGAAAGGAATATAACAAGTTTATGGCCTCAATCCTTAAGAATTTATGTTGTTTTAGTAGAGGTTTGATAACACTATTCAGTGAAGGATGTCAGAGACTTGATCGCATGACAGTGTGTTTGGATTTATTTTGTGTATAAGCATACTTTATGTTTCTTGAGAATGAAATGGTGGTCTTGCGTGCCTTTTTATCTTATTTTTTGTTTTCAGTCCCTTAACTAATGATATATGTCATGTCATATGTATTTGTAATACTATCTTCTTATGTGGAAGTGAATATGTATGTACAGTAAAACCTCTATATATTAATAATGTTGGGACCAGAGGATTTTATTAATTTATAAAGATATTATTATATCGATAAATTAATAATTTATTAATTTAAAAAGGTTTTAATGTATATGCATAATTGACCTTCAAAGTTTTAAATTCTTTGAATAACTTTGAGTATACATGCACAGTTATTGATGAAAATTAAGTTTAAATACAAATGTACTAGTAGAATTCTATGAACGTGGAAGTTGGAATAGCTTGTTTATATTAATTGATTTTGGAAAATACAAAAATATGGTTCATTGGACTAACATTTGTGCATTGAATCATGGATAGAAGTTAGCACTATATATTTATCCATTGGAAGTTCAGAGTCTAAAAGAGATAGTGGATGTCATTCATAATCCGAGAGATGATGAAGCAGAGGATGATTCAATAGCTTTGCAACCGGCCACTCTAAAAGAAGCATTGCAAGCATCAACAACTCTTCCTAACTTTTTGTTGCAGTACGATAAGACAACGCCACAACTATTGGTGCAGTAAGAAAATTTAAAGATGAGACGTAGAATCTAACTTCTTACATTATGAAGTCAATCGGAGCACCTAAGTCGTCGCGCTGGCATTCTTATTCGACCGATTGCTGAACCATTTAATATACCAGCTCTCCCCGGATCGATTTATTATTTGTCCGTAGAAAGGCCCAATTCCATCTGACCAATTCACCATTTTCTCGTCTTCAACCTTACTTATCCACGACGGGCCGGGTTTGTTTATCGATGCCGGTGTTGAATTCATTTATCTACGCCAGAGCCGACTATAACAACAAATTTTATTTTTGGATCTTCAAGAACTTCTTCACATTTTCGAGAGGGTTCTTGAGAGCTCTTGAATTTGAGACTTTGATTTTTTAGGTGCTTTGATTTGTAAGGTGTTGGTTTTTTTGAGATGTGATTTGTGCCATTGCGGAGAGCCCTATTTATAGGTGTAGGAGGGAGAGACTTGAAGAAGAAGACATCAATTTGATTGGTCCTTCATGATTTGATATGTTCTCTTTCCTAATCATATGATTTGATATAATCTCTTTTCAAATCTTAAGATTTGACTTGGTGGGGCAAGAAATAATAATATTATTAATTATATATCTTATTTATCATGGATTTATATCTAAAAATAAATAAAGACATTGGTTAATAAAATATTAAAATTTCCATGTCTACAAATGCCCCCTTGAGACTTGTTCACGGACAAAATGTCTTGGTAGTGAATAAGTTTCAAAATTTTGAATTTGGTTTGGACATGCAGATAGTTTAAACTCATATCAGGGAGTTCTTCATTTGACATGATTTTTAGATAGTTTAAACTCGTGTCAAGGAGTCTTGATTTGATTTGACAGATAGTTTATACTGGTATCAAGGAGTTCTTCATTTGACATGATTTGTAGATAGTTTAAACTCTTATCAAGGAGTCTTGATTTGATTTGACAGATAGTTTATACTTGTATCAAGGAGTCTTCAAATTTGTAGACATTTTATGCTCATGTCAAGGAGATGTTGATATGTAGACATTTTATGCACGTATCAAGGAGCCTTCGAATTTGATATGTAGACCATTTATTCTCGTGTCAAGGAGATCTTGATATGTAGACATTTTATGCTCGTGTAAAGGAGCCTTCAAGTTTGATATGTAGACATTTTATTCTCGTGTAAAGGAGATCTTGATATGTAGACATTTTATGCTTGTGTCAAGGAGCCATATAGATAATTTAGCCTCATATCAAGGAGAAATGTAGATAGTTTAGGCTCTTGTCAATGAGCATTTGAATATGTAGATAGTTTAGGCTCATATCAAGGAGCATTTGAATTTGAGAATTTGATGGAGCTCTTCATGTAAATTGCCCCCATGGAATTTGAGAAAAATATGAAAGCCCACTTTTGGTTCCTCCACTCAGATGTTTGATGAATACGTCGATTTTCGACAGCTTCATAGCTTGGGGAGACATCATGAGAGGTAGAGAATGTCTCACCGGGCGTGCCAAATTTGTAATAACAAATTTTATTTGAAGTCCCACTGGGCGTGCCAAATTTTAACAATAAATTTTATTTCGAGGTCCCACTGGGCATAACAAATTTTATTTGAAGTCCCACTGGTCGATACATTTTCTCGCCGTTGAGCCTCGACTCCGGTTGAGCTGACGTCATATTTTGCTCGCCGTAGAGCCTCGACTCCGGCTGAGCCAACATACATATTTTTCTCACTGTTGAGCCTCGACTTCGGTTGAGCCGACGTCTATATTTTGCTCGCCGTAGAGCCTCGACTCCGGCTGAGCCGACGAACATATTTTTCTAATTGTTGAGCCTTTGACTCCGGTTGAGCCGGCGTCCATATTTTGCTCGCCGTAAAGCCTCGACTCCGGTTGAGCTGACGTCTACATTTTCTTGCCATTGAGCCTCGTCTCCGGCTGAGTCGACGCCTATATTTATCACGCCGTCGAGCCCTTGCTCCGACTCAGAGGGCGTCTATATTTACGTCGCCTTTAAGCCTCTGCTCCGGCTGAGCCCACAGTGGTTAGGCAAAGTCAATAAGACATTTTCGGCTGGGAAAAATAAAAATAATAAAATAAAATAAAATCTTTACGCCGAGTTCTTCAGCTCGGTAAGGTAAAACCTTTACTTACACCAAGTTCTCAGCTTGCTAGGGCTGATACTCGTTCCTATATTCCTTAAGGACCCACGCTGGTGAGGCGTACTGTAAGACCTTATCGGCGGGGATGACTATATTCCTTAAGGACCCACACTGGTTAGACAAAGTCAATAAGATCTTTCCGGCAGGGAAAAATACAAAAAAAATCTTTACGCCAAGTTCTTCAGCTCGGTAGGGTAAAGCCTTTACTTACACCAAGTTCTTCAGCTTGGTAAGGCTAATACCAGCCTTCCTCAACTCTAACACCGAACTCATCAGTTCAGTAGGGTAAAGTCTTTACCTTCACCAAGCTTTTCAGCTTGGTAGGACTAATACCCTTTCGGCAGGGTCAACGCCTTAATAACACCAAGTTCTTCAGCTTGGTAAGGTCGACGACCCGTTCCTTAACGAGTTCTTCAATGCAGTGGACTCATTCTTTTACCGAGTTCTTCAATTCGGTAGATTAAAGCCTTCATTAACACCAAATCCTGAAGATGATTTGGTAAGGCTAAAGTCCGTTTCACCAAGTTCCTACAAAAGACTTGGTGGGGCCCGTTCCTGAAATCGAATCTTGCCGAGGTTCGAAACCTCTTTGAGGTTTATCAAGACGACAAAATGCCACATTCGCTAGTCGGAAACAAATAATATCGATGCCCCTTCATATACAATATTCCGGTAAGTCACAACACCTGTCGGCAGACAAAGTCAGACTCGACAAATTATCGAGGTAACATCATTTATCGTGCATTAATCATTTACTACACGTGCTCATTATACATTCACACATTCATCAATTCATTCGTGCATTCATTAATGAATCGTTTATACTTACATTCGTCACATACGCGCGCCATACATACATCCTGACATCTACAAAACAGTCAATCGAACTCTTTTCTGGTTTGGACCCACACTAGTAAGGCACACTGTACGACCTTATCGGTAGAGATGACTATATTCCTTATGGACTCGCACTGGTAAGGCGCACTGTAAAACCTTATCGGCGGGGATGACTATATTCCTTAAGGACCCACACTGGTTAGGCAAAGTCAATAAGACCTTTCTGGCTGGGAAAAATATAAAAAAAAAAAATCTTTACACCGAGTTCTTCAGCTCGGTAGGGTAAAACCTTTATTAACACTAAGTTCTTCAGCTTGGTAAGGTTGATACCCGTTCATATATTCCTTAAGGACACACACTGGTAAGGCGCACTGTAAGATCTTACCGGCTGGGATGATCATATTCCTTCAAAAACTGAAAGACCGAAGACCGGATACCGAATTATCTCACCAGGTCTAAATTAAGAAGAAAAACAATCACGAAACAAACAAAAAATCGCACCGTCTCAGTACGACGACAAAATCGCGAATCCGATAACAATTCCAGAGGCCCGAGTGCCCACACAAATCCATATCATGATACCATTACAAAAGCAAAATTGTTTTTCATTACACACAAAAATGCAAAAAACGTGTACCAAATTACCTGACTAGGCCATTCAGGCCCCATTCACATAGCAATTCCAAAAAAATTGACTATCCACGCCATTGACTCCATTCAACACGATTAACGTCAATACGTCAGGCCAAAGCCTGGACACGATCAACAAAACATTCACGGGTCCCAAAACACCCGGCCCACGTCGATACATTATTTATCACAACCAAATTGATTATACACGCGACTTCAGAACAGGTCTATTCAGAACATGTCCTAAAGTCAGGGGTCTACTGTTGATACACAATTTTGGCTCGACTATTAAAATATTACACGTAGATATGTATTAAATCAATTGTTTTATTTTTATCTTATTTTTAAGGCTCGAAAATAACATTGCTTGTGATAATAACGAGCCTATTAAAAACATATATATACCCCGATGATGGACATCATCGAGATAAGTCTGAGGGACCGCATTATTTTTTCTTTCTTCCTTATCAACTTCTTCTTCCCGAGAAAAGGCGGTGCAGAGCTTCTGCTTGATCTTTTTTGATCTTTTACACAAAAATAATAAGGAAATTCACCAAAAATATACAAAAATTCAATACAAACAATTCTCTGAATACCCCATGTTGATCAAATTTCGTGCATCAATAAAGGTATTGCACGATATTGATAATGTGGAAACCTAGGAAAAATTTCAATTTTGGTACCCCATTTATACCTTCTTTTCAATTTTGATACCCTTGATTTTAACTTAATCACTTGTAGTCATTCAAGTAATTAAAATCCATCAATTTTGTCATAAATCTCAGTTGGTCAACTAACGGTCACCTTCTCTTCTCTAGCCGGTTGTCTCCTTTTGCAAGTGATACAAAATGGCGAGCACCATTTTGAAAAATGTATCATCTCAAAAACAACAGTACTTCGATATCATCTCAAAAACAACAGTATCATTTCAAATG